GTCCAGCCAACCTGGAAGGCTGAGGAGGGAGGATCCCTTGAGCCCAAGGGTTCGTGGCCAGCCTGGGCAACATAGCAAGACCCTATCTCTTAAAACACATTTTTAAAAAAGTAAATGGAAGTAAATTAGAATGCTTCATAATTAATCTTGCAGACAAACAATAGGTGTTACTGGGTCTTTGACTCAAGAGATGATCCTGGGTACCCTTCATGGATTGCAGTGTTTTTATAGCTGCTCCTACAATCAAAGAGGTAGCAAGGAGCCCCTTAAATGGTCATATGGTCGTTAAAGATGTTTTAAATTTTCTTGGTTGTACATCCACCATAAGAAAAAAAAGTGCAGGACCTTAAACAAGATGTGTGGCTATATTTATCCCAGTTTTCAAAGGACACACTTGGAGCAAGCTGCTTTATTTTTTGCCCTTTTACTTAATATTCATTTTTTTTTTTTTTTACATTCTTCCCCCCAGATCAGCAACGTCTTGTTTTTCATTTTACCGCCCATCTGCATGTGCTTGTTTCGTCAGTATGCAGCATGCTTCAACAGTGGCATCTACTTAATATGGACTCTTTTAGTTGTAGTGGGTAAGTGGATTCGCTTGGGAGCATGGACTGAACGGGAGGAAATGGGATTCCGCATACTTCCTGTCCCCTCTGAACATAATGTTTTGTAAACTCAAGTCACTCTGACGTATTAGCAAATTTTTTCCCTCTTGCTTGACGCCAAAAGGACTCTTTGAATGTAGGCTTGATAACAAGGTTGGCTGTAACTATCACTTACCTACCTTTGAGACTTCATTTGTGCAGTAGCTATTGGGGTTGTGCCAGTGCAATTTTATGAGAACATCTGAAGAAAGTCATGTGAAACAATTGAACTCTGGTGAGACTGTGGTTTCTAATGGACTAAAATTAAAGAAAAAAATCTAGATGTTTGCTCCCTCATTGTTCTGTGAAATACTTGTATAATTTTCATTTCCTCCTACAGGCAAGTTGGGAATTCTTATCGATGAAAGAATGTTGAGTTTTACATACTGCCTGTTCCCATGAAGGCTCAGTGGGTGAAGACAGGGCGTGTGTAACTGTGGAGTTGTTAAAGTTCTCATGTGCTGATATTTGGGCTCTGGTTGAAGTCTTCTTTCTAGACTTGAGGGTGGGTGGTGTGAGTTTCTTCCTTTGGTTTCTTTTTTCAGAGAGATAGAGTGATCTGGTGATTGTGATAGCAGTTGGCGAAAGGGCTATCCTTAAGCAGTGTATTGAATTCGTGAGTCTCTTCTTCTGTGGTGACCTTTTTTTATTGGTTGTAATTGATTCTAGGAATTGGATCCGTCTACTTCCATGCAACCCTTAGTTTCCTGGGTCAGATGCTTGATGAACTTGCAATCCTTTGGGTTCTGATGTGTGCTCTGGCCATGTGGTTCCCCAGAAGGTATCTACCAAAGATTTTTCGGAATGACAGGTAAGCTTGTGCTAAACATTTTGCATTTACCACTAGGTGCAGTACCCAATATAATGATGCATCTATCAAGAACCATAACACATGGTTGACCTCAGCCTCGTGATGAGTTTATCATATACTTTAATATCTACTGATTGTTTTTATGATATGACAGTATAAATAAGCTGACAGATAAGAGAGGAAATTTTGATAATGCTTGGAGAAGAATTTATATAATATTAGGGACCAAAAGTCAAATATCTCCCTTGTTTGCTATGAGCAAGAGTGGAAAGACCTCCAGTGGGGGCGAAAGTACTGGATGGTTATTCAAAGATGTTTGATTTTCTGCTAGAACATTTCCTTAAGACCAATCTAACTCCATTAGTTTTATACGTCTGAAGTAAAATCCACACCACAGCTGTTAAAGACTAAGGCTGCTCTCTGTGGATTGAAGTGGAAAAGTATCTGTGGAAAATGTTGGCTGCAAAAAGCACATTATAGAATCGTGTGTGTGTGATATCCTAATTTTAGAATGAATGAACTACACTCTTTCTAAGTATATGTTTTTGTATGAGCACAAAAACAGGTGAAAACACCAAACTGGCAGGTGAAAACAGCAAACTTCTGCCATTGGCTATTCTTTGACATTGGAATGGAGAGGAGCTTCCACTTTTACCTTTAATCGAAACTGGTTGAATTTTTTTTTTTTTTACAAGGCACACATGTTAGTTTTGAATAGTAAAAATTTATTTTTAAATGAAGGAGGGAGAAAACATACTTTAAATGGATTAGCTGTATAGTCTTTATCCAAGGAAGCAGAATTTGAATTAAATAGTATTATCTTCAAGTGTGGTCAAGCAGTTAGACATACCCTTAAGAAGGTTACTTATCAAAAAATGAGAGAAGAGCGAGTGAGCGAGAGGGTGAGAGAGAGAGAGAGAGCTTTGTTTACAAGTAGAAGTTCCTGGTCTTAGATGAAGTGTGGTTCTCCATCTTGCTGAAGCCTTCAAGAAAGCATGCTTTAAAATGTGGCCAGATTGGTTTAGGCTGTGTCCAGTTTCTAGTCTTACTGTTTTGTTTCCCTATTCAGCTTCCGGGGAAGACCTGGGAGGTGAGGGAGGGTGTGAGGGCAGGGGTAGAGGTGGCGGGCAAGAGGCAGGGACATGAGGTGGTTTTGCAGGCAGGGGCTTTTTGACTCTGCCTGAAAAACAAACCATTGACCTTTTGGCTTTTCCTCCAGTTTTCAGGGTGCTACCAGTCACCTCTTTCTTTTCCCTGAGCCTGGTGTGTGTTAGGTGGAAAGCTGAGGAATCACTTTTCTCTTAGATCTGCTCTTTCAAGTCCTGAAATCTGAGTGAGAAATTGAAGAAACGGGAATGAGGGTTTTGTTGATTTGTGTGCGGCATTCTGGAGGCCTACACTGAGATTCCAAGTAGCAGTTTTTAATGTGTTCTTTACAGAAAACCGTTTTCCCCCTTTTCTTTTATTGTTTCTTGGAGGTAGGGAGAATAATGCTATGAGCAGCAGAGAAGAAAATGGGGCGATGACGTTGGTAATTAAAGCTTACAACTTTGATAATGAAAACATATTGTGAGGCAGAGGTGTCTGTGACCATTTGGGACTGTCCATCGCCAGCACCCTGCAGCCTTTCTCTCGGGAGGACGTGAAGATGTGGTGGCTGTGTCTTCAGTGTGGGCAGAGTCCTTTGGAGGCACAGAGGACCATACACCTATATATCCCTGGCTTGGGAAACTGTCTGGCTTTGGATCTTAGCTTCACTGCTTATAAACTGTCACTTGTCTTGACTCTATTTCCTCACGTGTCAAATTAGGTAAATAATAGTACTCACCTTGGGGTTCTTTGGGATGGTCCTGCAGAGCACTGAGCACAGTATCGTGGTGAGTGCTCCATCAGGGTTAGCTGTCCTTCCTACCAATGGCACTGGAGGAGATTTCTGCCTAGCATTTCTGAGATACACATGCAAACTGAAGGAGAGAGTGGGCATTGAACATTTTAATGAGCAAAGAAAGAAAAAGTGCATGTTAAGAGAAAAGTAGACAAGGATTTCAGCTCTATTTGTACATCTTCAATTTTCCAGTGACAAGAAGAGGGCCAGAAGGACAAACCCCTTTGTGTGGGTTTTACTGCCTGTGATATGGGACAGGTGACAGTTCTGCAGTGGAAGTGGCAGGCCAGACCAAAGAATTCATGTCAAAATCAGGATTTCTGTAGTTCAAAGAGTGTCTGGTTTAACTGCCGGAACTTACCAGGTGGTTAACATTTATCTCCATTTTTTCCCCCCAGTGATCTAGACTTTGCTGGAATATTTTCTAAACACATATTGAAATTCGTTCCAGTGTGAGATTTCTGGAGAAGAGACAGTAGAGTGTGGTGGCTGACTTTGGATCAGACAGACATGGCTTTGAATAATAATCCACTTTTTTTAAAAATAAAAAAACTCTGGGACCTCATTTTGCTTATCTGTAAAGTGGAGATGATAAAAGTGTCTACCTCATGGGGTCAGAAGTAAATGGAAAAATTACATAAAGTGTATAGTACAGTGCCTCATGCAGAATAAGGACTCAATAAGTACTAGCAGTTATTATGAATGGCTAATATGGGCAAATGTTTTGAAGATAAGGATTTCTAGAAGAGTAGGGAAATTATTAATGTTGATTATGTCACTAGGATATATTTGGTAGGTTTAAGAAGAAGGGTTTTCTTTCATCTTGCCTAGAAAGTCCCAAGAATCTTCAGGACATACATTCAGCTGTTGATGGGTATTAATAATTTCCAGATATTTTTGTTTTAAGAAAAAAATAAGAAAAAAGAACTATTATAGGCTAATTGTATCTACTTCTTAAAGAATTTATACTGCTGTGCTTTTTATGACTGTGCCTTTACAAAGTCTAGGGGCAGCCCTCACTTTATGATCCAATTCATTTTTTGAATCCTGAATAGCAAGGGAGCCGGCTGGGACCTGCCTGCCCTGTAGCATGCTTGCCGGATGACTTGGGGCTGGAATCTTAAACTCTCTGGGCCTTAGTGCCTTACTTACAAAATAACAGGGTTGATAAGCTCTCTGAGGTCTCTTCTAGGATAAGATGCTTTGTCCCTAAAGGGTAGCTTTTTTTTAAAATTTTTTTTTTTTTTTTTTTGGGGACAGAGTCTCACTCTGTTGCCCAGGCTAGAGTGCCATGGTGTCAGCCTAGCTCACAGCAACCTCAAACTCCTGGGCTCAAGCAATCTTTCTGCCTCAGGCACCTGAGTAGCTGGGACTACAGGCATGAACCACCATGCCTGGCTAATTTTCTATATATTTTTAGTTGTCCAGTTAATTTCTTTCTATTTTTTTAGTAGAGATGGGGTCTTGCTCTTGCTCAGGCTGGTCTTGAACTCCTAAACTCAAGCAATCCTCCCACCTCGGCCTCCCAGAGTGCTAGTATTATAGGCGTGAGCCACCATGCCCGGCCTAAAAAATTTTTTTATATCACCCAGGCTGGTCTCGAACTCCTGGGCTCAAGCCATCCCTGCCCCCCTGCCTGCCTCAACCTTACAAGTAGCTGGAACTACAGGTGCACACCACCATGCCCAGCTAATGTTTTATTTGTTTATTTTTTAGAGCTGGGGGTCTCGCTATGTTGTCCAGGCTGTCTAAAGGGTAATTTAAAGCAGTGGATTGTAACCAGGGACATTTCCAGCCCTTACAGACCATCTGGGAAGTTTGTGGATACGTTTTTGGTGGTCACAATGATGGAAGGCTTTGCCATCCATAAATTCCATTTCATTTCAGAAGAGTAAGAGGGGCATTACCAAATATCTGATACAAAAATGGGCACGGGTCTGATAGGGCTGACAACCACTAGCTTTAAAGGGTAGCTAATGATAACAGTAACAGCTTTATTATAAAAATATTATGACAGTATTGGGTTGCTAGGTTTTGGTTTGGAGAATACAGGAAGAAGGGGCACTATTAAGGGTTCCCTGGCCTTGTGTTTCAGTGTGAGACCATAATGGGCAGGAAGGTTGAAAACAGGACCAGAGGCTGCAGTCAGGGTTGTCTGTCAACACAGTTTAGCAAACACCCAGTCAGGGCCCCTTGCTCCTAGCTATTTCTGGCTGTCTTGTACCAAGGGCCTCTGGTGACTCTGGGGTCTGCCGGGCCGGCTGGCTTTCTGCTGGCCACGTGACCTCTGTTTATTTATGCTGGTTGCAGAATCGTGTGTTCACAGAACGTCCTCGTTGGCCAGCACACTCCTCCACACCCTCTGGACGCGATGTGGGAGGTGTCTGCTGATGGTCTCCCTAAAGAAAGCATGTTTCATCAAGCTTGCTGCCTTTAAACTATTTGGCAAGACTTTAGACAGCCTTTGATGATTGCAACAGCAGCTCAGTCAGACTTTTTCTCCAGAGTGTGATATTATCAACAAAAATAATATTTAAAATTGTATTAATATTCTCAAAATAATGGTAAGGATAATGGTAATAATGGGTTTTATTAGCACATAACACGTACTGGGCGCTGTTAAGTGCTTTAATGCTTACAAGAGCACTGTGAGGCAGGTGCCTTAATTTTTACGTGGGAAAGGTTCGAAGAGTTAAGTTACTTGCCAAAGGTCCCACAGCTGCTAAGTGGTGCAGGCAGGATTTGAACACACATTGGTCTCGCTGGAACACCTGTGCTTTTAATCACTCTGTTGCCTTCTCTAACTAGTACCTGAATCCTAAACCTTTGGGTACAAGAAAGGTGATGCACTTTGGAAGTTTCTGATTATGTGTTCATCCAATTGAGAAATACCAAATCTCTTGGCATGGGTCGCAGAACCTCAAACCCAGTGAGAGGGTTATTGTGGGTCCCCACGGGCCCTGCACATGATGGGCTGCGGCTCTCGTCCTCAGGCTGGGGCAGGCAGCCTTTTATCCAGTAGCTGAAGCACACCAGCCAGGGCTGGGAGAAAAACATGATTCTCCTGAGGATTTGCTGCCTGGATGTTTTCCCAAATATATTTTTTCCTGTAGTAAGAAGTTCAGGGCTACAACTCCTGTTCATTCCAGTCAGAAAGTTGGCAGCTTGATCAATGATTTCCTGTGCCTTGATGATAAATGGCTTTCCTGTTTAAGAGATAAATTTGTATTTTGAACGTTCAATACTCTTTGATTTCATTATAATGGAATTTTATTCAAATTAGTTTCCCAGCTGTGACCTGTTCCAGGGCTCTTGACCAAAGTAAATTGTGCTAATGAGAAATAACAGAAACAGGAAAATCATGTGCCCCTAAATTCAAGTCATGCATGGGGCCTTAGAAATCATCTAGTCCAGGCTTTTTGTTTTATAGATAAGAAAATAGGGTCCCAGGGAGAGAAGAAGGAGCGTGTGCAGGATCACGTCGCCACTTCTAGCTCTTTCTACTGAAATGACCTCCACCGAAGGGTGGGAGGATAGTTCAATTATTTTTCTAAGATTTGTCATGTCAAAAACTTGTCAACTCAAATTCTAATCCATACTAGATTTATGGATTGTCAGTAAATATTGATACTATTAGAATTTTTTCTTAAAACTTGTAATTTTGTGTGCTAGACACATAGCACATTTTTTGAACTAGGAAACTTTATGGTTTATTAATAGTCTCTTTTTCTTATGAAAGTCGTACATGTTCACCTTGTAGAACAAGGACTGGCAAACTACGTCCTGTGGGCCAAATGGGTCCTGTTTTTGCAAATCACGTTTTGTTGGCACACAGCCATGTCCGGTCCTTTACTTATTCTCCTTAATGGCAGAGTTGAGTAGCTGTAGCAGAGACCTGAAGACCTGAAAAACCTAAAATAATTATTATCTGACCCTTTACAGAAAAAGTTTGTTAAACCCTGCTGTAGAACAGCTGAAAAAATACAGAAAAATCACACCAAGAAAACGATTATCCATATCTCACCCTCGAAGACTTAGGTTGATTCTAATTCTACCATTCTCATGGCTAAATATTTTGAAAAATCTCTGGTTATTTCCTAAGCATAAATTCCTAGAAGTGAAATTCCTGAGCCAGCAAGTGAGAGTGGTTTTTAGACCCTTGGTACTTAGTGCAGAATTTCTTTTCAGCTTGCACTTGTAGCAGTGTCTGTACCTTGCCAACATTAAGCAAGCCAACAAACAAAAACTCCTTTGCTAATGGATTTGGTTTTGCTTTTGCTGCTTCAGGGGCAGGTTCAAGGCTGTGGTCTGCGTCCTGTCTGCAGTTACAACATGCCTGGCGTTTGTCAAGCCCGCCATCAACAACATCTCTCTGATGACCCTGGGAGTTCCTTGCACCGTGCTGCTCATTGCAGAGCTAAAAAGGTGGGTGCCATCATTCCTGCCTACCCCTTGGGAACATACCTGCTCTGGGCTCCTTGGCTGAAGTTGAGTGGAAGAGGAATTTTATTTTCATGAAGCGTTAGTTGCTGACTGTTGGATTGGAAGCAGGTTTGATGGTTTAGTTCAAAATGGTAATGATCTCATTTTCAGAAAGAGGGGAACAGCTGTTTCGTGGTTGCAGTGCATCCCAGTGATCAAAAGCTAGCTTAGCAGGAACGTCTCAGCACCCAGACCAAGATTCCTAGACTTAATTCTGTAGAAAGGAGGATAGATTTGTCCATATGAGAAGAATGTGGAGAAAAGTAAAGTCCTAAGGAGGTTATTGCATTCACACACAGAAGGAAAAAGAGGAAAGGGACAGGGAAAATGAATTTCTATAGACAAGGAAACATTAACTTCAAGTGGACTACCGTTGACCATGGTAGTTTCTCTGAGGCTTAGGGTTGCGTCTACAATCTACCAGGTAAAGCCTTTGCTATTTGCATTAGCATTTTCCTTTGGGAAGTTGTATTCTCAAAGTTCAGGTTGATATCCAGAAACATTTTACTTTGGCACTGTTGGTACATGACTGTCTTCTTCTAGCTCAACTAAAATATATCGAATCACTGCCCTTATTTTAATACTCTTTGAAAACATTTTCTTTGCAGCCACTTTAAAATGCGTTTTAATTAGTGATTTTCTCATTATTATGGCCACTGAGCGTCTTAATTGAAGTCTTGTAGTTGAAGTTTTGTGTGATAGTTGCTCTGTGTAAAATGTTAAGTCAGCTTTCTATTCTCTTTGTTTTAAGAGGAGATAGTCATTCTTTCCAATTGCCTTGTCTCTGAGGGTTGCTTTTATTGCCAGCAATAACAGGCATGGTCAAAGGTGGTTGAAGAAGTATAGTGTTTGAATTTGTTGTCTTGCAGCCAAAGGATGTTGTCATATCTTATCTAGTTGGCTTCTTTGAGCAGCCTTCAAGGACCAAGGATGTAAGAGACTCTTTTCAGAAATAGACTGAAGTTGGTCCTAGAAGAATAACTACGGCAGTGAGTCCTTTTGAGTAGAAAAGCAGATAATTGTATAAATAACAAAAGGTCCAGTCCCTACCCTCTAATAACCTTAATTTAAAAAAAAAAAGCAACTTCACCACTGGTATAACTTGTTAGAGCCAGAAGGGCTCTTAGCAACCTCAAATCTACCTGCTCACTTGTTTACTCACTCACTCAACAAATGTTTGCTGACTTCTTACTGAGTGCCAGCTACCCCGGCTCTTGACAGGAGACTCGTTGGAATCACCCAGGACGTGCATTTGCAAGTACAGGTGCTAGCTCTGCCTATGCAGAGATTTGATTTTGGTGCTCTGGGACAGAGGCCTGGGCATCTGGAAATTTAAAAAGCTCAAAAACCTAGTTGCCTGGGGCTGAGGTGAGAGTAGGGGCAGAGTGGGGATGTAGGAAGGTTACTGGGAGAGGAAAAGGGGAATGACTGCTAGTAGGTAAGGACTTCTTGTTGGAGCGTTGGAAAAATTATAAAATGAGATTGTGGTCATGGTTGGACGACTCAGAATATACGAAAACACACTGACCTATACACTTTAAATGGGTGAATTTTATGATGTGTGAAATATACCTCAAGAAAGCTAGAAACAAAACCAAAACCCCTCAAGAACCTGCCCAGGTGATTCTGTGTGGTGCCCACCTCTGTGTGAGAACCGTAGATCTATTCTAAACTGCATGCATCTAGTGTGGGGGTATTTAGCCTTCTGGAGGGTGCACTTTCTCTAGCAAATTAGAATCTGTGATCATAAAAGAGATACAGAGAGGAGGAATTTGTAGCCTTTAATAAATACTTGGTTATCTTGTCATCCAGCAGACCTAGTACTGAGTAAATCTGAAGTCACGTACTTCCATCAAGCTATGCTGCTTCTCATGGAGAAGGTTTTCAGTGACGCTCACATCAAACCAGTGCCCTTCGTGAAAATGTTCTCTATTTCTTTCATATATCTAAAACTCCACCATAACTGAAGCCTGTGTTTGGAATCCTTTTTGTCACCACGGCCACAGGTTTGCTCTGAGCTCAGCATTTCTGCCTGGCGAGGATTTTGATGGCTGGCTGAGGTCCAGATTGCCATCTGCAGCATGGGACAGAGCCAAACGCTTTTCTGTCCTCTTATGGCCAGGTTTCTTAAGAGAACTGTCACTAGGCATTGCCCGCCCTTCTTAGCCACTCATTCTCGAATCCCTTGCGATCTGGCTTCCCTCTTTATTTATTTATTTATTTTTTTTGAGACAGAGTCTCACTCTGTTGCCTGGGCTACAGTGCTGTGGTGTCAGCCTAGCTCACAGCAACCTCAAACTCCGGGGTCAAGCCAGCCTCCTGCCTCAGCCTCCCGAGTAGCTGGGACTACAGGCATGCGCCACCATGCCCGGCTCATTTTTTCTATATACTTTTAGTTGTCCAGCTAATTTCTTTCTATTTTTTTGGTAGAGACGGGGTCTCGTTCTCGTTCAGGCTGGTCTCGAACTCCTGAGCTCAAATGATCTGCCTGCCTTGGCCTCCCAGAGCGCTAGGATTATAGGTGTGAGCCACTGCGCCTGGCCTGGCTTCCCTCTTTAGTCTGAGATGTTCTCTCAAGGGTCACTAATGATCCTTTTTAAAAAATAAATTTTTATCAAGTAACTCATATTTGTTGTAGAAAAATTGGAGAATACAGATAAGCAAAAGAGAAGATAAATGTTATCACTTACTAAATGAAATTAATATTTGACAGCACTTAGAATAATACTTGGCTTATCATTTTTATGTGCTAAAGAAAAATAACTAAACCTGCTATCTGATAATGACTATTAACCTTTTATTGTATCTTCTTCCAGCCTTTTTTATTCTTTGCCTCCTGTCTTTCTAAAAAATCTAGCTATTTTTATAAAAGTTAGGTCATTCTTTTATAAGATAATCTGAAATTTGATTTTCTCACTTAGAAATGTATTATAGCCATTGTAGCCATCCTTCTCTGTAAATAAATATAGATCTGGGTCCTGATTTTTGATGGCTATATAAATTTTAATTTATTTTAATTTACTTTAGTTACCTAATTTTCTATTTTTTTTTTTTTTTACTTTTTTTTTTTTAAGACAGAGTCTTGCTCAGTCTCCCAGGTTGGGGTGCAGTGGCGTGATCATAGCTCACTGTAACCTCCAACACTTCAGCCTCCCAAAGTGCTGGGATTATAGGCATGAGCCACCGGGCCCAGCCTAAGTTTCTATTTTTCAACATTTAAGTTATTTCCAGCTTTTCGCTTGTAAACAGCTCTGTGATGAACATCTTTGTGTATCTTTTTGCACTCAAATTATTTCCTTAGGCTGAACTAATTTAGGCTGCCTTCGAATTTATGAATGCAGTAGCCTCGCTTCAGTTCTCACCATCCTTGGACTGCCAACCTCCTCCTCCTCTTAATTTTCTTCTCTTGGCTTCTGTGACCCTGTGTGATCCAGGCTCCCCTTCTACCGGACTGTTTCTACTCTACTCCTTTGCTTCCTTAAGGTAGGCAGTCCCCAAGGTTGTCTTTGACTCTTTTTTTTATGTTTCGAGGGTCTCACTCAGCCCCTTGTGTTCTACTGTCATTGTTCTGCACGATTCTCTGCATCCACCCTCGTCTCTTTGCTGAAGTCCAGTCTCACATTCCCAACTACCTGCTGGGTATCCCCAGTCGGACTTGCTGTTCCCCAAACAGTGATATTCACACTCACCGGCGTGGCTCCATACCCACTCTGCCCCCATATCCCTCAATGTCCCTTTCCAAACCCTGCTTTAAAATTCCCAGATTGTTTTAATGGCATCACTGTTTCCCAAGTCCATTCCACTTGAGATTGTACAGTCATCACTGGGTCTGTCATCTCCTGGCACCTCAAACGATTTCTGAATTTCATGGAATGTCCCTCTGCAGTGTCTCATCTGTCACCTCCTCCCATTTCTGTTGCTTCACCCTCACGCCTCTCCAGAGGACTGTTACATTTGTTTTCTAACTGGTCTCTTCTTCTTCCAGTCCTCTTCTTTCTAAGGAGTCTTTGCCATGTCCCTCCCTTGTCTATGTATAAAAACCTTCAGCAGCTCCTCGTTGTCTAAGCTTCCTGTAGAGCCTTCTCTTCCTCTGGCTCCCTCCACGTGCCCTGTGACCAACCGATCTGGACAGGCTCCTCGTTGCTTTGTCTTTAGGTCTTTGCTCCTCCTTTCCTCTCTCCCTGGAAAGCCCTTCCCCACCGCTGCGTGGCAAAGTCCTGCCCCTCCCGCAGTGCCCGTCCCAGTGCCAGCTCCTTCCCCAGGCCTTGCCCAATTCCTTCTTACCCCTCAGCCACATGTGATCGCTCTCTGCCCAACTCTTTGTGCTTTTATATTGTATGTAGAATGTTCTCCCTTAAATATAGATACTTATTTCCTTTTCTTCTCTTCTTCTTCTCCGGTGTGGTGTTCTTCAAAGGCAGAAATTATACTTTGTTGATCTGTGAATTCTCCCTGGTGCCCATAACCTGTGAAAATTCAGAAGTCGCTGTGTTGTCTCCTGCAGTCATTTGCTGGGTACCACTAACTTCTCATCACAGAGCCATGGGATTCTCTGAGAATCCTTCCATCAGTGGAGAGTACAGAAGGAGCATGGGCGTTGGCCTAGAGAGGCCTGAGTTTGAGTCTCGGTTCTGCCTCCTACTAGCTGCCTCTGGGCGTTATTTCACTAACTTGGGTCTTAGTGTCCCTATTTGTAAATAGAAGATAATTAATGCTTAGATTTCACAGTCCTGCAGTGAAGATTAAATAAGATATATTTAATTTTAATTTTAATTTTTTTAGAGTCAGGGTCTTGTTCTGTCACCCAGCTGAAGTGCAGTGATATGATCATAGCTCACTGCAGTCTCAAATTCCTGGGTTCAAGCGATCTTCCTGCCTCAGCCTGCCGTGTAGCTGGGACTACAGGCGAACACCACCATGCCTGGCTAATTTCGTTTGTTTGT